GGGTAGCCTAGTGGTCATGGCATCTGCCCGGTAAGCGGAAGGTTGTGGGTTCGATTCCCATCCCTTGACACTTTTTTATTTTATCTATTCTGACCAAAATCTATCCGTGAACTTCACACAGAGAGAATAAGGCAATTATATAAGTAGATAATCCAAATTGTGCCTTATCACACACTATTTTTTTATTTGGCCTTATTGCATTGTGTTTATAATCTATGACGTAATGCCGGCGGCGCGCGCATCCGTGACAGAATCGGCCCATGACGGTCGTGACTATATATGGATAATAATAATAATATAATAATAATAATAATAATAATAATAATTATTATTATTATTATTATCATTAGATAATGATAATGATCATAATGATGATGCGCGCGCATCCGTGACAGAACCGGCCCATGACGGTCGTGACTATATATAGGGATATACGAATGACCCGGGCAACGCCCGGGTTTTACCCAATTAAATGCTTTTATTCAAATACTATTCGTTACAATTATAAATTGGCGTCGTGGATGTCATTCTTGTATAATATATAAATGAGTTTAAAATTTGTAAAAAAAAAAATGCATCGGCCCGGGAATCGAACCCGGGCCGCCCGCGTGGCAGGCGAGCATTCTACCACTGAACCACCGATGGTTATGAAAATTCCCATCCATGAGCTTCAGACAAACAAACAGACAGAATAAGGCAAATATATAAGTAGATATATAGATAATCCAAATTGCACCTTATCATTAGATTAGGTCTTATTACCTTCTAATCTATAATCCAAATTGTGCCTTATCATTAGATTTGGTCTTATTAGCTTTTGTTTCTAATCTATATTACAAATTGTGCCTTATCATTAGATTTGGTCTTATTACCTTCTGTTTATAATCTATAATCCAAATTGTACCTTATCATTAGATTTGGTCTTATTACCTTCTGCATCTAATCTATATTCCAAATTTTGCCTTATCATTAGATTTGGTCTTATTACCTTGTGTTTATAATCTAATATTCCAAATTGTACCTTATAAGTAGATTTGGTCTTATTACCTTCTAATCTATAAACCAAATTATTTGGATAATGATAATGATCATAATGATGATGCGCGCGCATCCGTGACAGAACTGGCCGGCCGGCCGGCCCATGACGGTCGTGACTATATATGTTGATGGATAATAATCTATATATATAAAAATGGATGTTTGTTAGTCCGTCCGTTTGTCAGTGATAATCTTCTACATCGCTCAACCAATCGTGATGAAACTTTGGGAAGATGTTTAGTATACTACCGGGATGGTTACTGGCTAATTACTCTTTAGAAATAACCTTTCGTTGCATTTTTATTTACAATAAAACGTAAATTCACTCGCAATCTGCGCCCCTCTCGCGGCAGACGGGGGATGGCGGCGCGCGACGATTGGCTGCCGGCGCAGCACGTGAACTCCCTGCCCCCCCCCCCCCGCCGAGTAAATGAGATCTCCTGGCTGACGGCCGAGCAGCGCCCTCTAGAACGCGTGACGATTTTGACGGCGCGGGGCGCTCCCGGTTGGACAGTTGCGCGGGGGCAGAGTGACCTCGCGGGTGCCCTCCGGGAACTACGTCCATCTTCCATATGTAATATACATTTAATCGTGTAAACCCGGGCGTTGCCCGGGTCATTCGTCTACAAATTCGCAGTAGTTCACTAATTCAAACCAAAATATCCATTCATAGGTAAAAGAATACTGGGAAGACTGACATTTATTAATGCAGTGATTATAAAAAAAATCAACATAAAGTTCCATTCTCAATCCCGTTGGGCTTTAGATCGGCTAAAACATTTTTATCTTTATTAGTGAATATTAACTTTACTGTACTGAATAGTTTAGTATAATGTTAATTCAACATATTACAATTTAGCCACTGCAACGCGTGGCCGGGTTCGCTGTGTAGTATACTATCAGGACGATTTCTGGCGAATTATTTTAGAATAATATTTATAGCAATAAATATAGCGAAATTAAGACGTAGTGAATATATTCTGTGTTTGTGCATATATAAATATTTTACAGAAAATGTGAGAACGTTCTATTAGAATATCTCGAAAACAAAAAACAATACATATAAACGAGTTCACTGACATTTATTAATGCAGTGATTATAATCAATGATTATAATGAAGGGCTATATTATCTATATATATAAAAATCACTTTCAAATTTTAGCGTAACGTTCCATTCTCAATCCCGTAGGGCTTTAGATCTGCTAAAACATTTTTATCTTTATAAGTGAATATTGACTTTACTGTACTGAATAGTTTAGTATAATGTTAATTTAACATATTACAATTTAGCCACAGCAAGGCGTGGCCGGGTCCGCTAGTAATAATATAATAATAATAATAATAATTATTATTATTATTATTATCATTAGATAATGATAATGTTCATAATGATGATGCGCGCGCATCCGTGACAGAACCGGCCGGCCGGCCGTCCAGCCGGCCCATGACGGTCGTGACTATATATAGGGATAATAATAATAATATAATAATAATAATTATTATTATTATTATTATTATCATTAGATAATGATAATGATCATAATGATGATCCATATTTACAATAGTTGATGAAATTAACAAGAAACGAGAATACTCATACTTCAAAAAAGAAATAAACAGAATGGCCAAAAGCAATATGATATCAAAAAATGAATTTAAATTATTCATGTCTAATTTAGACTCTGAGAGTTACATATATGGAAAACCCAAGGTTCACAAGCAAGGGATCCCATTAAGACCAATAGTAGCCTATCACAGCTCACCACTAGCACCAATAGCCAGGTATGTTACAATATTTTTACAGTCATTAATTAAGAATAACGTATTTTTAATGTCAATAGCCAATATTCCAACATTCATCACAGAAATAGCCAATTACAATTATCAAAGAGAACATATTTTGGTATCATTCGATGTAGAGGCCTTATACCCCAGTCTCCCCCACGGCTTAATACTTAAAACTACTAAAACCTTTTTGGATAACAATAAGATAGACCCTAATACAATAGATAAAATAATAGGTTTAATCACATTATGTCTTAGAGTTAACATTTTCACATTTGACCAGAAACAGTATAAACAAATTAAGGGTTCTCCTATGGGAAGCCCATTGTCAACTCCATTAGCCGAAATAGTAATGAGAGAATTAGATTTATGGATCACTTCATTATACCCGGCAGATATCATATTATACAGACGATATATAGATGACATATTTTGCATTTGTACCGAAAAACAGATTCCCAACATCTTAGCCTCTCTCAACAATTACAACAATAGCTTACACTTTACAATAGAAAAAGAAGATAATTGTACATTGCCATTTTTAGATATTAAAATAATGAAAATAGATAATAGATTGCAAACTACAGTTTACTACAAACCTACTTTCACCCCTAATTATATAAAGTTTTCTTCATTTTGCCCCATCAGTCATAAAATTAACACAGAGAAAACGTTGACTAAAAGAATTTATACTCATTGTTCACTAAATCTATACAAAAATCATGAAACACAGACAGTTATCCAGAATTTAACTTCAGCCGGTTACCCTAAAAGATTTATATTAAAACATTTCTATAAGGAACAGGTCACATCTAACATGATAGCACAAAAAACTAAAATATACAGGCAAAATTGTTACATTCCATATTCCCCGAAATCTATCCATATTTCCAAAACATTAGATAAATTTGGAATAAAAACCTTTTATAGTAACTCACCCAGTCTATCAGATATCTTAAGAAACCCGATAACAAAAAACAGGCAAACCGAACACATATCACACAGAAAAGAAGTAATTTATTCCATACAATGCAATAACTGTAATGCCAGATATGTGGGGGAGACAGGAAGAAAATTATATAATATAATCATTGAGCACAGAAGAAATATAAACAGAAATGACCCTTTATCTTTAATAGTACAGCACTCTAATTCAACAGGACATACATTCAACTTGAATGAACCTAAAGCACATTACAACAATATCAGTAACAAATATCAAAGATTAATAATTGAAGCAATAGTGTCCAAGCAATACAATAGTATAAATCGCAAAATAGATTTACCAGAAGCATATAATTCAATAGACTTAAATACAATAAAATAATACAAATTCATTCTTAGCATATGATATCACATGTCTAATGGGATTCCTTGCAAGTTGTAAAATTTGTAAAATACAAAATAAGTTTACTTTAATGCATCATATTACCTCATATATTTTAGAATTAGTTTTCCAAATTATTATACCTACATGTAAATTCAATCATTTTAATATTATTCTAGTTAAGCAGATATGCAAAACAATAGCTATATGTATATAAATTATATTTCAAACTAGGTTGGATTATTATTGTATTATTTCCTGTAGAAGGGCGTATGTGCTCGAAAGCTCGTAAATTGTCGTTTTAATAAAGATACGCAGCCCTTGATGCTTTATTGTATTCGTTTATAAATTGTACAGGGTTTTTACTCTTCATTGTTGGCTTTTTATCTTACATTCATTCTTCATTGTTGGCTTTTTATATTATACTAATGATGATGCGCGCGCATCCGTGACAGAACCGGCCGGCCCATGACGGTCGTGACTATATATGTTGATATTCCAAATTGTACCTTATCAGAAGATTTGGTCTTATTACCCTCTAATCTATAATCCAAAATATTCGGATAATGATAATGATCATAATGATGATGCGCGCGCATCCGTGACAGAACCGGCCGGCCGGCCCGCCCGCCCATGACGGTCGTGACTATATATGTTGATACTAGACGAATGGCCCGGGCAACGCCCGGGTTTTACCCGAGTGCGTATATATTTTTAAAATGTTTTAATTAAAATACTATTCGTTACAATTATAAATTGGCGCCGTGGATGTCTCTCTTGTGAAACGTCCCGCCCCAAACTGTGTGTGTCTTGAAAATATAAAAATAAAAATGTGAACGGAAAAATATGTCCAGGGTAGCTTAGGGGTCATGGCATCTGCCCGGTAAGCGGAAGGTCGTGGGTTCGATTCCCATCCCTTGACACTTTTTTTATTTTATCCATTCTGACCAAAATCTATCCGTGAACTTCACACAGTGAACTTCACACAGTGAACTTCACACAGAGAGAATAAGGCAATTATATAAGTAGATAATCCAAATTGTGCCTTATCACACACTATTTTTTTATTTGGCCTTATTACCTTGTGTTTATAATCTATGACGTAATGCCGGCGGCGCGCGCCCGTTGGCTGCCGGCGAGCACGTGACCTCCCTGTGCGCGCGCATCCGTGACAGAACCGGCCCATGACGGTCGTGACTATATATGTTAATAATAATAATAATAATATAATAATAATAATAATAATAATAATTATTCTTATTATTATTATTATCATTAGATAATGATAATGATCATAATGATGATGCGCGCGCATCCGTGACAGAACCGGCCGGCCGGCCAGCCGGCCCATGACGGTCGTGACTATATATAGGGACTAGACGAATGACCCGGGCAACGCCCGTGTTTTACCCGATTGAATGTTTTTATTCAAATACTATTTGTTACAATTATAAATTGGAACCGTGGATGTCACTCTTGTGAAACGTCCCGCTCCAAACTTTACATGTACATTAGGTCAGCTGGTATTACCCCTCATTTTCACCGCTAGAGGCGCGAGCGAATTGACTTTTTGTAAATATACATAATTATAAAGATAGAAGCTTCTATAGAAGATAATGATCATAATGATGATGCGCGCGCATCCGTGACAGCGATGAGGAATTGAGGAAAGACGGTCGTGACTATATATTAATGACGAATGACCTGGGCAACGCCCGGGTTTTACCCGATTAAATGTTTTTATTCTAATACTATTCGTTACAATTATAAATTGGCGCCGTGGATGTCACACTTGTGAAACGTCCCGCTGCAAACTTTGTTTCTGAGAAGCGATATTTTTATAGAGAGATGAGCTGGCTTTTGTTTTCTGCTGGAATGAATGTTTTTCTGTTAGAATTTTGTTCCTGCGTACAAAATAATGAACTGGTTTCACCCGTGGTCTCTGCTTTTTGGAATTTTTACCGATATAATTTTGTATCTAATAATCAAACATGATACAGCAATATCGCCATCATCATTTTCTGACTAAAAATATATAGTTTTAATAATTGATTTATATATTTTTTAAAATAGCCTATCGTCTTCCCCGTATTTTTTTACCCATGTATGGACATTTTGGTTTGAATTAGTGAACTACTGCGAATTTGTATACCGGACATACAAACAAACATACAAACAGACAAACATACAAACATTCATTTTTATATATATAGAGATTTACTCTTCATTGTTGGCTTTTTTTATTATATTTACTCTTCATTGTTGGCTTTTTACTTACATTCACTCTTCATTGTTGGCTTTTTATATTATACTAATGATGATGCGCGCGCATCTGTGAGAGAACCGGCCGCCGGCCCATGACGGTCGTGACTATATATGTTGATATTCCAAATTGTACCTTATCAGTAGATTTGGTCTTATTACCTTCTAATCTATAATCCGAATTATTTGGATAATGATAATGATCATAATGATGATGCGCGCGCATCCGTGACAGAACCGGCCGGCCCGCCCGCCCGCCCATGACGGTCGTGACTATATATGTTGATATTATCATTAGATAATGATAATTATCATAATGATGATGCGCGCGCATCCGTGACAGAACCGGCCGGCCGGCCCATGACGGTCGTGACTATATATGTTGACTAGACGAATGACCCGGGCAACGCCCGTGTTTTACCCGATTGAATGTTTTTATTCAAATACTATTTGTTACAATTAAAAATTGGAACCGTGGATGTCACTCTTGTGAAACGTCCCGCTCCAAACTTTACATGTACATTAGGTCAGCTGGTATTACCCCTCATTTTCACCGCTAGAGGCGTGAGCGAATTGACTTTTTGTAAATATACATAATTATAAAGATAGAAGCTTGTATAGAAGATAATGATCATAATGATGATGCGCGCGCATCCGTGACAGCGATGAGGAATTGAGGAAAGACGGTCGTGACTATATATTAATGACGAATGACCCGGGCAACGCCCGGGTTTTACCCGATTAAATGTTTTTATTTAAATACTATTCGTTACAATTATAAATTGGCGCCGTGGATGTCACACTTGTGAAACGTCCCGCTGCAAACTTTGTGTCTGAGAAGCATTATTTTTATAGAAAGACTAGCGGATGTGCCCGGCTTCGCCCGGGTTTTACCCGAGTAAAGGTTTGTATAACGAACATTTGTTAAAACAATTCTCTATAAACATATAAAAAAAGAAAGATATATTTTGATGATTTGAAACTCGTAAATTTGAATCTCTCGATAAAGTGATCATTCTTTCCCGGTCCCTTGTGCCGTGTCATCCTGAATTTTGTATTTCCTAATTTTCTATATTACAAAATAATCGTTTTATCTAGTGAACATATTTTCCCGGTCCCTTGAAAAATACTCGATAAGTTGAATAAAATCATGGTCGTGAATCTCTCGATAAGGTGATCATTTTTTCCCGGTCCCTGTGTGCCGTGTCATCCCGAATTTTGTATTTCCTCGATAAAGTGAACATTTTTTACCGTTCCCTGTGAGCCGTGTCATCCTGAATTTTGTCTTTCCTAATTCTATACATTACAAAATCATCGACACGGGATATCATTTAATGTTGTCTAAAGGGGGTTAAGAGAGCAGTCTCTTTCAAATGAAAAATGCTTTAATTAAGCAGATGTTTAAAGTATAATATATGAGAGAGGCAATCTTACAGGTTGTCGACGCTGTAAAATCCCCAGAGAGAGTGTTTTTGTAGCATCATGCTGTGACTCACACGATGACCCAAGGTCATCAGGAGCAGCAAACTAAGCCTATCTCCGTCTCAATGGTAGGGCTGCTTGCGAGTTAAATATACAAATCTGCAAATAACTCTAAGAATATTCAAGATATTCAAGAAAATTTTTTTCGTAAACCTTTCCGGGGATACACCTCATAATATCCCAAAATTTCACGGCGATTGGATGCATGGTTTTTGAATCCATAGAGGACACACACACACACACACAGACAGACAGACAGACAGACAGACATTCATTTTTATATATATAGATGATCTGGCTTTTGTTTTCTGCTTGAATGAATGTTTTTCTGTTAGAATTTTGTTCCTGCGTACAAAATAATGAACTGGTTTCACCCGTGGTCTCTGCTTTTTGGAATTTTTCCCGATATAATTTTGTATCTGATAATCAAACATGATACAGCAATATCGTCATCATCATTTTCTGACTAAAAATATATAGTTTTAATAATTGATTTAATTATTTTTTAAAATAGCCTAACGTCTTCCCCGTATTTTTTTACCTATGTATGGACATTTTGGTTTGAATTAGTGAACTACTGCGAATTTGTATACCGGACATACAAACAAACATACAAACAGACAAACATACAAACATTCATTTTTATATATATAGAGATTTACTCTTCATTGTTGGCTTTTAATATTATATTTACTCTTCATTGTTGGCTTTTTATCTTACATTCACTCTTCATTGTTGGCTTTTTATATTATATTTACTCTTCATTGTTGGCTTTTTATCTTACATTCATTCTTCATTGTTGGCTTTTTATATTACATTTACTATTCATTGTTGGCTTTTTATCTTACATTAATTCTTCATTTTTGGCTTTTTATATTATATTTACTCTTCATTGTTGGCTTTATCTTACATTTATTCTTCATTGTTGGCTTTTTATATTATATTTACTCTTCATTGTTGGCCTTTTATCTTACATTTATTCTTCATTGTTGGCTTTTTATATTACATTTACTCTTTATTGTTGGCTTTTTATCTTACATTCATTCTTCATTGTTGGCTTTTTATATCATATTTACTCTTCATTGTTGGCTTTTTATCTTACATTCATTCATCATTGTTGGCTTTTTATATTATACTAATGATGATGCGCGCGCATCCGTGACAGAACCGGCCGGCCCATGACGGTCGTGACTATATATGTTGATATTCCAAATTGTACCTTATCAGTAGATTTGGTCTTATTACCTTCTAATCTATAATCCAAATTATTTGGATAATGATAATGATCATAATGATGATGCGCGCGCATCCGTGACAGAACCGGCCGGCCGGCCGACCCGCCCCCCCGCCCATGACGGTCGTGACTATATATGTTGATAATAATAATAATAATAATAATATATTAATAATAATTATTATTATTATCATTAGATAATGATAATGATCATAATGATGATGCGCGCGCATCCGTGAACTTCACACAGTGAACTTCACACAGACAGAATAAGGCAATTATATAAGTAGATAATCCAAATTGTGCCTTATCACACACTATTTTTTTTATTTGGCCTTATTACCTTGTAATTATAATCTATGACGTAATGCCGGCGGCGCGCGCCCGTTGGCTGCCGGCGAGCACGTGACCTCCATGTGCGCGCGCATCCGTGACAGCGGCCGATGAGGAATTGAGGAAAGACGGTTGTGACTATATAATAATATAATAATAATAATAATAATAATAATAATTATTATTATTATTATTATCATTAGATAATGATAATGATCATAATGATGATGCGCGCGCATCCGTGACAGAACCGGCCGGCCAGCCGGCCCATGACGGTCGTGACTATATATAGGGATAATTTGTTTAGAAAGATTGATAACAGCAAAGAACAGAGCAGTCTCAACCAATGTATACATTTAGGCCTCTGTCTTACAATCCTCCCAAATATTCCGAAAATTTGTCTATTCAAAATTATTCATGTTTACCTACAAAAGAGTATGAAGATCACAATAAAACTCTCAAACAATTAAATAGTAAAATATAAATTTCAGATTGATAAATGTTTATATTTTGTGTGTGTGGAAATCACATTTTAATACTTTTTATGTAGTCAAGGGTAGTAACAAAGTTATACAAAATATCCTTATTCCCCACAAGGTCTTTTGTGACATT